TTGCAATCTATAATCAGTAACTTTATATGTCATAAAATTACTTTAGTTTTACCGATTTGAACGAAAAACTTTTTATTAGTAACGATTTTAACACATAAGCGAAAATATTAGAACTTAAAAGAAATTTGTAGGCAGTTATCCAATCTCAACAGAAATTACTTATACATAATAGAATAAAATCTTCTAAATATAAGTATCTTTTGTAACTATAGTATCCATTACTGACTTACAAATGCAAATAAAGCAATAAATTTCAAAATAAATAACAGTACAATGACATATCAAAGTATGGTTCTGAACAACGTTGTGGTGAGAAGCATTCCAGAAAAATCACTACATCTCTGATTCTGTTTAGGTCCTGATATCAGATTCTTATCATTTTTTGGATACAAAGTAAAAATTGGTTCTTTTAGTTATCGGGGAATAGAGCAATGTTTTGTAATATGACTTAGGTAAAGATTTTGAATATTGCACCACCAACTACAAAAACACAAAATTTTGTAATAATAGGGCTACTATGTGGTCTTTATCAGAAGAATGAAGAATCAATACACACAATTCATATCAGGAGCATACATATATTTCAAGTAAACGTATTTTGTTATTGCCACCTTGTATTGTTATTGTAGGAAGACATGCTATGAGACTGCGTCTACCCTATAATTATTTTTAACGGGTTTATGGCTCGGCAAATGAAGAGGAAACTCTATTCCACCTCATGTGTGAATGTCCTTCATTGAGTAAGAAAAGATTCTAAATCTTTTGTGGGCCGTTTTCTTCCAGACCTGATAAAGTTGTCTTCCTGCAAAATTAGAGACTTGGCAAGGTTTATAGACTTGTCGGTATAGTCTACTTTCATTTGAATGCGGATGTTGCACCTTTAAGCGTTATTCGTACAATGACCACTGCGTTCATTTTCGATATACTTCTGGTCCAAAGCTAATTTATTGTGTCACAACGAGCCATTATTTCAGTTTAAGTTGGCTTTGAGCATAAGGCCGGCACTCCAATCTAACTTAACTTAACTGTTATTGTATTCGTTTACCAAACTCGTTACATATAGTCGTAAATAGCAGTATAATATACCAACTTGGACATTGTATTAATGTTAAATTTCATGTCAGATTGAAATAAAAGACCTCATTTTAATAATTGTCTATTGCAAATCATAATAATTATATTACATTATTATATTATATTATAATATTATATTATTATATTATATTATTAATTATATGTAATTATTAGTAAACAATAATATCTGTTGATAATGCAAATTACCATTTTAAAGTATAGGAGATTATAAAACGTACTATTAATGTAATTTTAAAAGCAGGTCAATGTCTTACATATCGTATAACAGACTTTCAAGAGACAAGCCATAAACCACATAGCATTTCCATTGAAGTATAGATAATGTTACTATTGATTAATAGGTTCTTCTACGAAATTATTTATGTTAAAAATGAAAGAACTATTCTAAAATGCCAAGATAAAAACCATTTTCTATAAAAAAAAAATATTTAACACTTCTATTAGCTACTATATAGCTATAAAACAATTATTCTATCCTATTCTCCATTACCTTGTCATTTTTACAAGAAATATCAATAATTAATTTTTGGAAACATAGTTCCACACTGGAAAAATTTGAGAATAGAACATAAGGAGTCTGCAAAACACTACACAACCTTTTTGAATATGAATCATGAATATCCTGGTCTTATCGATTAGTATGTATGTATATTGATCCTTTTTTCGAGTCAGCGCAACTGGGCACTTTTACTCTTTGATAGCTGGGGGATCTACAGGGTCCCACCCATCTCATTGACTAATTTATGTATTGCCTGTAAGCTTCATGATTATTCAGTGATTGATCTAAGATCTGCGTACCTCCCCGTGCGGAGAGTGATTACTCTAAGATTAGATAGTGGTAAGTAGGATAGCCTGTCAATTTTCGCATATAACTTCAGGGCTCTGTCTCTTATGTATTTTTTGATCGGGTCTATTCAAAGGTCTCTTAGCATGTCGTTTGTGCGGATGTACCAAGGCACTTTGAAGAGCCTTCGGAGAGCCTGACTTTGAGCGACTTGTAGCTTTTGTATAGTAGAGTCGGCAGCTTTGCTATACGCGACACACCCATAAAGTGATGCTGGTCTAATTATCTGGCTATAGATCAGTTTTCTGTTCTTAGCGATTGTAACAAGTAATTCTTAAACGTTACTTTTAAAATAATTAGACTTTATAATAAAAAAATATAAATTGCACACTTCAATAAGAAAGCTGTATATATAATAAAGCTTAATAATTTTAGCTATAATAATTAAATGAAGAATATTCTTTAATAATTCAGATTAGATTGTAAGTTTATGATAGTATATGCAGGTGACACATTAATATGTAGGGACTTTTTAAAAAATCTACGTATTGCATTACACATCAATCTTAGGAATATGTAAATAAAAAAATCGTAAATGTTGATGCAGTAAACATTATTATGAAAACCTTTTGCAAATATTTAAAGCTTACCAGATAGACTCATCTATCAGTATATGATAATTCATAAGATATTTGATGATAATACAAAAAAAAAAACTCACTGTCTATCAAATTAAAATATTTAAATTAATATAGGAAAACAGATCTGAGAGCATATGAATATGTATCTCGGCAGCTGAATAATAATGTCATTCACTGCAAACTTTTAAGTCCGGTCCATGTTAGCGAGCACTCTACATAGACTGGAGCGCAACCGCACAGTTGACCGTAATTTAAATTTTTTTGTTTTATAGTTCGGGTTCATTTAAATTAATAAAGCAAAAAATTTTAAGATTTTGTATTATTTTTATTATTGTTGGAAAAAAAATTATAATGCTTTGAAATAAAAGTGAAATCATATTATGCAATATTAATTACAAGTTTTTTTAAGGTTGTTTAAGTGGTCTTATTAAAAATTGTAATTTGTTAAAACAAGTATGAATGTAAGGAAAATTTAATTAATAATTACTTTAACTTATAATGTAATATATATCAAAGCTAAATAAAAAGTTAACTTGTTTTAATTGTACGTTAGAGTTAATAATTTTAACATATATTTAATCTATTTGGGAACAAAAATTGGTTTGGGTTAAGGCCAATTGTTGTAAATCAAAAAAGAATTGATCAAATTCGAAAAGACATGATCATGTAAAACGCTTTGGTTAAGCTCGACATATAGGTTCCACATATTCTTATACAAATATTTATCTTCATCATATTGACGTCTTTGATTTTTTCTCAAGAAAATAATTTATTTCCGAGACATATTTGTATGAGTTTTCATTAACTTCATTAAACACAAGAAATCATGGAGTAAAAAAGAAACCCGTCTAGCTTTAAAGAACTCTTAAGCAGTGACGTAAATCTGTTTGATACTGTCTGTTTCAAGGAAATCATTTTATAAGGCACTACTGGACAATACCACATCAACTTCTACAATAACAGGAATAACATCAGTTAGGTCGAGTATAGACAATGGCTCTCTACCCTTCATATGTCGTATACTTAGATGCACACACAAATTTGTGCTCTATTTCTTTATGGTTACAACTTAATGGATTTCAACAGTAAAGAAGATATTGTGTTTCAACAAAATAATGGGAAGCATTAGGTTAGGTTGGAATGTGCGGCTCTGTGCCCAAAGCCTACTTGAACTCAAATAATGGTCCGTCCGAGAAAACATGACTCCCTCATTCAAGTAAAATTGAACCATCCTGACAAGTCTATAAACTTGGTAAAGTCCCTAATTTTGGAGAATGGCAATTCTTTCAAAGCGGTAAGAGGGACAACAAAGATTTTAAATCTTCTTCTAACTAATAATGGACACCGACACATAAGGTTTTTTTTCTCATCCCCGGAACCACAATCACGGCCACATCATTATAGACCATAGCACGAGCACGTTCTTCCGTTCGTACAACAGGACCAAGTCAAGAAAGTATTTTAAATAATATCTCATCGTTCCATTTAATTTGATACTCTGTGCCAACGCGTTAGGAAGCATAGATCTTCCCGAAGTATTAGTCTCTCGAATGCTAATAGTCTCTTCTTATCGAAGACAGCTTTTTAACGCTGTTGGTTATTGTCCAAGCTTGTGCAGTATACAGTAGGACGGGTATGAGAAGGAAACTGTAGACTGATTTTTGTTGTCAAGAGAGGACTTAATTACTTAATTGCCTACTTGGACCTAAGTATACAAAAATACATATATATATTATTAAGTCTATACTGTTTTCTTTAATGTAGTTTAAATATCTGTATTTTCGTCTAAGGAAAATACTCAAGAGGATTCAAAAAATTGTCTTTTGGTATGAGTTCTTAATAACATACAAGTATAAGATATTTCACTTTCTTTTTGAAGAAAATATAAAATTTATTTTATTATTAGTACGTACCTTCAAAAGTGACTGTCATTTTGTTTATATGTTTAAAACGTGTTAGTTTTAGATTACCCATGTATAATTTTTGCATATAAATGACTCCCCCTGAGTTATTTTGACAAAATACATAAACGCACGCATTTACATAAAAAACGTGTGACGTGTTCAAAGCCTGATAAGCAGGTCAATAAAATTATATCAGCAAATATAAAAAATAATTGATTGTTTTAAAAATGAAATTTGAATTACGTATAAAATTATTTTGAAAAATTTGCAACCAATGAGTTAATCGTTAATGGGAATTTAATATGAGTTTTATATTTCAAACAAATAAACAAACAAGAAGAAGCACATATCCTATGCATGTTTTTTATTACCGGCAACAAGTGGTGGTCGTAAAAGCAATAAAACCCGATTGGCTACAGCGCCCAACAACAACAAAAACAGCAATAGCAACATTGTGCATCGAAATAAGAAAGTTAATTAGAAGAGTAAACAAAAATCGGACGATGGTTTCCAATAACTTTTTATTGACAAATACTTAAGCTTCTATGTAGGCATAAGCCAAACACATAAACTTACCGGTTTTTTGGCTGCAAGCGGCTTATTTATCAAATTTAAATGTGGCTCAAATTCTTGACCAAATTTTTCGATTAGACTGTTTTCTGCTGCTTCTTGTGGACATTCCTCCTGCTGTACTAATTCCCAAATATTTTGCGGTATATAGAAACTGAGTACAAGACCAAGTAGTAAACCGAAAATAAAATAATGATTGCGACTGAATGCAGATCTACGCATGTTAAGCAATTTTTTATAACGCGAAAATTTGAATATCATTTAATTTATTTTAATTTTATCTTAAGGACACAAACACGAGCAAAATGAAGGATTTATTTTACTACTATTCAAGGCTCAATAAGCTCAACGAGACGTTGGCAAGTGGCGGGAGTAAAAGACAAACACTCACAACTGTTGCTGTCACGATGTTGGCAATGATCTTTCATCTTTTTTTACGCACACATAATCAATTGGATTCATTTTGCACGCTTCTGCGGCAGCAATTTTTTTTTTTCGCTAAAAGAACAATTATTCCTTTTTATATTTTTGGCAATTTCCTCTCACATTGATAAATTAGTTATTTTATTGATTATATATTATACACTCTAACTATTAGAGACATTTTTTTATTATTCTCTGATTTTATATTTGAAATTGACTGGTAATGAAAATTTAATTAAAAAATACGTTTAACTGATCGATTGAACGAATAATAACACAGCGCTATCCGTTGCACAACCCGCTTAACAACCTCACACGAGCAGATCCGTTGTCAAACTGACAACTTGTTGTATACAATCAGAGACTAAACAAAAAAGACACAAAGCTACCCACCATATATTTTACGATTTAAACGAAATGGAAATTTCTTTCTAATTTTGTCAATACCCCGTATTTCGAGCTGAAAGCCCTGGCAGCTAGCGCTCATTCTTCCTATTTTAGTTATAAGATTTTACATTTTGTAATTAATTATAATAAATAAAAATAAAAAAAATAATACCCTGTATTTAAATTAATTTTATTAATATTGTAACATATAACTATAACAACACAATTTGTATTCATATTTGGTAACTATTAAAAGCAAAGCAAGTTAATGTACGAGGGCGGTTTGATAAGTCAGTGACTTTTTGAATAAAACAAATTTTTAAAACAAAAATTTGTGTGATGTGTGAATCAGTTGTTGTTTGTTTGAATTTAAATTTTTGTATTGTTTATTTGCGCGGCACTGATGTTTTCACCAGACTTTACACGAAGCTGTTCCATGAAAATCTGTGTAAGAAGCGTAATTTGGTACTTTAATTGCGTTACGTTCTCAGTTCGTACTTTACTTGTGTTTTACTTGAGTTTTACTACGAGTAGCTCGTGGAACAGACCTATTATAACATATTTCATATTAATTTTTACATATGAAAAATACTAGATTGAATTTTATATTGTTCTTTATATTGTTCTATTTTGAAAATTGTTTTGATTCGGATTTAAATTTTCTCTATTTCTATAAAATATTATCTCTATCAAAACATACATTCATAATTATTACATTGGAATTCTTCGAGACAGTATTTGCTAAAGTCATTCCGAAAGGACATGACTTCGAGACTGCATTAACTACACCTACAGACACGATGGCAGACATTTCTTCAACTCCGTTACCTATAATTATTCTAACCTCGAGTTTTTGTTGTGTCTAGCACGAAGATACTTTATTAGACGTCATAATCTTTTCCTGATATGCTTTGCCCAGCTCAATTTCCCATCGATTTGCTTGATGATATGAGATACAATCGTGGTAACAATAACCCCTTACACAGAGTAATTAATTACTTCTTAGCAAGTGCATTCTCGTTCATTTCCACTTGTCTCCAATTTTGGCTTAGCTATATTTATGTTATATATTCTTTTATCTGCCATGTCACCGCAATTGTTGTTGCTTTCAATGTAAAATGAAAATTTGACACTGACAGCTGACTTAATTTTGTATTGAAAACAACAACAATTGCTTGATATGACTGCTATCATAACATGCCCATTACTAATATTTTAATATTAAATTTTTAAATTATAAAAATTTTTTGTCAAAATCGATTAGTTTATATATTTATCGTTATCCATAATGTCAAGGACATAAATTATGTGACAATATGACAATATGGCTATTATTATAAATTCAGTAAAGTGTTTTTTTTTCTCATATAAATTCTTCGTTGATATAAAACAATCAAAATAATATATAATTATGTTAGAGATTTACTTCACATGTAAAGTAAATTAATTTTAGAGCTGCGTTTCAATATACGCTTTTAAAAAGGTGGCAACATATTTTTGATACATTTTGAAAATTCTTCAATTCACAATATTTGATCTGCGTGCAATTTGTGTACAAATTTTTATTCTTTACTCCGCAAATATTTTAAGTAAAACTTGTACATTACAATGGAACCAATGAATTTAGGAAGCCCAAGCGGTAGTCCAGCAACATCAAGTCCATATCTGCCTTCATTTTTGATGGGTGATCCAACTGTGCAAGGTACACAAAATGCTCTTTCTCCAAATAAAGGCGGTAGAAATGTATCATTTAGTAATGGTAGGTTTATTCAAGGAGTATAAAAGGACTATACAAATAACACTAATTTTTTTCAGCAACACCCACTGGACCCGTATCGCCTAAAGATAAAAATCGACAAGTTTTAGGGCAAAAAACACTCTTTGGTAATTACCAACAATCGCCATCTTGTGGTGGGACACCGAATTTCAACAATACTTCCATGCAGAATCATAATTCAAGTATATCTGGTCCTCCAACTCAAGGACTTTTTGACACATTGCGAAATGAACGCTTTCAAGTTCAGACTCCGGTGCGCAATGCACATTTGCCACAATTCGGCACACCTGGACAATCTAATAATGTTAGTGGTTTTGGACTTAACCAAAGTTATCAATCGAATCAACAAACAAATTTTTATAATGATTCTCGAATAAGTGCAAATAACACGACACATATGTCAAGATCAATGTTATCACCTTTAGCTCCAGTGTGTCTATCGCCACAGACTCAGTCAACTTTGTGGATAACTGTTTTTGGTTTTCCAATCACTTCCATTTCGACGATTTTACAGCATTTTTCGCAGTGTGGCACAATAGTTGACAAAATTTTTCCATCACAAAATGGTAATTGGGTCCATATAAAATACTCTTCACTTGTTGAATGTGATAGAGCTTTGAATTTCAACGAAAAAATAATTACACAGAATATTATGATAGGAGTAACACGGTGTAAAGATCGTTCAATTGTTGAGAAAGAAAACATGGTCGATAGTATACCGTAAGTTATATGATTAAAAACTCTTGTTTCAAAATATTTATTAACTTATTTAACAGATCTACTCCAAAAATAAGGAATTTGGCACATCCATCTACACCTGTAGCGAGCAAAGATGTTTTAACTCCACAAAATCAAAGTATCGCTCAAAGGAGCTCTGGAATCATGAACAAAGCTATTGATTTATTTTTCGGTTGGTAGCAGCATATAAATAAAAATTTTCTGAATTAGTTTAATATATGGTAATATGTCCACGTTTATTAAAAATTCATGTTTCAAACTACAGTTTGTCAATAATGTAAAAGAAAACGATTAAAGTATTTATATATTGTTTTTTATTTCAATAATTTCTGTTTTAAATTAAAAAATTTTAATAATATTATGATTAATAAAATAATTGTTTTTCTATATAAACTATTAATATTAAACAAATAAATATTTTTTGTATAAAGAAATAAAAAAAGATTATTTTTCTTAACTTATTTAAAATGAAACTTTCGAATTCCAAACATTAATTAAAACAAGTTGCAGCTACATCATTTACTTTTGATCGATTAGGGCATTTTCCAAATCCTTCATTTTGGGATAGTTAACATCACGACTGTCCAACTTAGACTGAGCCCACAAAATTAATTTTAGTAAAAACATGACCTTTGGCGTTGATTCTGCACTGTGTTCACATTTCAGAATTGCAGCATTCAATTCACTGGCAATCTATTGAAAATAAGAAATTATTATTTAAAATAATAATATTTAATATTATTTAAAACAAAAAATTAAGAAAAAGTCCATAAACTTAAGCAGATTAACTTCAAAGTCCAAATATGTTATATAAGATTCTTAGAACTTAAAATTAAATGATTGTGTCCCAAAATTTGCATTTCAGTTTACATATTTGGTAATAGGGTTAAGCAAATATTAAGACTATTTATTGATTTACTACATACCTTTTGTCGGTGAGTTTGTTCTAATAAATGAGCAAAAGGACTGTTTTGTGGTTTTTCAAACGCCAATAATGCTAACGTACGTTCTAACTCAGGTAGTATGTCTGGAATGTCCTCACCCGCTTCTGATAACTTTGTTTGAGCAAATGTCAATGCATCTTCGATTTTTCCACCACTATTATATATATATATAAACATATATGAATTATAAAAATCGTAGTACCCTCTTACGATATAGTAAACGTACCGAATTAATTCAATTAATTGTAATTGTTGTAAATGAAAGAATAAGAAACGATCATTGTCAAGCAATTCAGGATGTAATTGGTTAACCAAATGAGTTGCTTCTTGTATACGACCATTTTGGACAGCTTCGCGAATTAATATGCGATCATCTAGCGAATTTAGCTCAATCAATGGTTCCAGACCTGCTTCATGCTGAAATTTTTCAGCAGCCTCTTTAAATCCCTCTTTAAAATGAAAAACTTGCTAAAAATAATTTCTTCTATTAACTGATAATATTTTTACCTGTCACTAAATAGTTCATTATTAAACGGTTCATGTCTGCTTGCTTAAATGGAAAATGATGTTCCAAACGTAGCATCCACTCATCTTTTGTAATACACTCGTTCTTGTCGTTATAACTCATTTTTTTACTTTTCCTTGCTTTGCCAATTTTGAAGCCGTTTATTTAAAAATCTTGTAAAAAAAAATATGTTTTACTTTTACAAACAATAATGCAAGTTGTCTGCAATTCCTTTGTGTTTTAATTTTCTCTACTAACGAAATGTCACTTTCTACTGATAGATAAATATTAGAAGCAGGGATGAAACTTAAAAACTTTTTAAATGTATTATTTGACAGTTACGAGTATATAAAATGTTCCAAAAATTGCTACTTTTCATTTTATTACTAATAGCATATTCAAACAATTTCGTATTTTCATTAATAAAGTAATTTTAACAAACGGACAGTAATTTTAAAGTAAAGTAATTTTATTTCGCTTTTCTTGTTTTTACAAGAAAATACAATACAACACAAATTTAGTTTTTATTTTGTTTTATTTTATAATTTTTATTTATTTAATACAAGAAAGTGTGACGATACAAGTTTGAAATAAAAATCATTTACATCTGAACACACTTTAAAAAAAATTATATTGTCCATTTGATAAAAGACAATTTACTTTTTCAATTTCAGAAATTGAAAACTTATGTCTAAAACGAATTCATATTTTTTAATGTTATTCTGTTTAGTATTATAACTATAACAATTTTAAGTGTGAGGCGTCTACATTGCATACGAATTTCGGCATGCGTGTTCTTACGAAGGAATTAAATGTACGTTAACATATGTGAGTGGTTACAGTTGCTGAAAACAATTCGTGCGATGAGTTGTCTTCTTACGTAAACATTTCATTAAACAAAATATGTTGTTTAAAATGCATTCAAAAATATATACTACTTTTAGGAAATAAATTGTGTGTTGTAAATTCCTTTGGTAATGGAATAGGCAAACTCTGCATTTTTATACTTTGATGAGTAAAAATTATGCAACCAAATTCATCTTTTGTTATTTAAAATTAATAAATAATTTAATAAAAAATTATCCGCTTAATTTCATTTTCACTATCCATTTTGTTTTCAAAACAAAGCAAAACTATCAATTTAGAGCAACGTAACCGCAACATGCGACGTGTTCGTACGAAAAATATATGTACGAACACGCTATACAAAATTCGAATGCAATGTAGTCGTACCGTAACTGTGTTTTCATTTGAAGAATACAAAAAAATGGGCGAAAATTTTAAATATTTTTTTTATTTACCAGTAAAATTAAATTTAAATAATAAAAATTCATGGCAGTGAATCATATTGAACAGTTAATATATAAAATAAAACCAAAATGTCTTTTTCTTTTTTTTTTCACTATTCCTGAAAGTTAAACTTTTCTTGTAAGATAAGCTATTGTGTATACATATTATAAAAAAATTTTGTTTATAAATTTAATATATTAGTATACCAATTTATAATTAATTTATATAAGAAAATTTCGTTGAGTAGGCAACTCTGTTCAAGCGAGCGTGAGTTTTTTGACAATCGGTAAATACTAAAACTTTATGGTATGTGATTTGATTGGCATATCTTAATGGAAATTTATTATTAATCAAAAAGTGAAAATAAGATACTAAAAAACTTTTATTTCATAATTTTAATTCGTAAGTTATATATTATTTTCATTTATTTTAATCTTGATTAAACAAGTTTATGAGCATATATTAATCGATTTCATCAATGGGATCAGAAGGTAAGAATAAGTGTGAAAATATTATTTTTTAATTTTATATAAATATTTTGTTTTTTTCAATATTCAGATCGAGACCGCCGACGATACAGATCGCGTTCTAAAGAGAGGTCATCAAGAAATGGTATAAATAATTTATAATTATAATACATTAATACAGTTTATATCACAACTCCTAAATTATCGGTTATTAATAATTTTTTAGTTCAGTTGAAATGTGACATCACAAATAAATAAAATGGATGAATGTTTTAATCTTAACTATAAACTGTAACTGGATAAATAGTGTTTATATGATATTTGCAACTGAATGGCATATTTTATTAGTTTAACATAAAAAACCAAAAACATATTTTAAATCGCATCTGACCTTATTTATCTTCTATTAATGTTATGAGAACAAATGATTATGTTATATCATTTTTATTATATTTCCTGCAAATGTATGCAAAATTGCATAAAAATTATAACACTTTCGGAATTTATAATTTACTTCATTTGTCATTCCTTATACATTAAGAAGTCAGAGCATTAAATAATAATAAATTAATATATATCCTCGTTCAGCAAGATATGGCAAATGATAATAGAAATATATAAATGATCATTTATATATTTCTTCAAAATGATTTAGTAAAGTTATAGTACAAATTATTTGCAAACCAATTTCCGCAAATCTTGATGACTTTACAAATTGTTATGTTGACCTCGGTCCCATATTCGGTCAAATTTTTTTACGCCACTCACAGTTTATATGAAATACTTATATATATACAAGATAACTATAACTTTCTTCATTGAGATGCATTATGTTCTATTACTATTGGAATTTGTCCAAGTTTAACTAATATTTCTATTAAGTTAATGATAACTAATGGTAACTTGCGTATTTCTTTTAAAATATTTCAAATGAAAATTACATAATTAATAATTAATTAATATATTATTAATATAAATTTGTAGGCGAAAGTAGGTCTGCGAGAAATGGAAACAATGGTAGCAGTCGGAGCAACCGTGATGAACGTAAGAGGGACCGCGATAGAGACGGGGATAGACGACGCGATGAAAAGAGAAGGAGGCGTACAAGATCGAGGTCTTTATCTAGGGATTATGAACGAGAAAGAGAACGCGACAGAGCGTAAGTGTTAACAAAGAGTTTTATAAATAATTATAATTCAAATATTATTATAGTGACAGAAGGCAAATAGAAAGAGAACAGCGCGATTATAGAGATAGAGAACGTGAAAAAGAATGGGAGAAAGAAAGAGAAAGGGATCGTGAGCGAGAGAGAGAGCGTGAACGTGAACGTGAAAGAGAACGCGAACGTGAACGGGATCGAGATCGAGATCGTGATTCGGGATCAAGACGTGTAGCTTCTCCTCCGGTTATTATTAAGGAGTCTAGCAGTTCTTCTTCTGAGGAGGAAATCGATAAAGAGGAAGAACAACGCCGTTTAGAATTAGAAATGATCAAAAGAAGAGAACGAATCGAACGTTGGAGAGCAGAAAGAAAGCTTAAAGAATTAGAATCCAATAAAAAAGATTTAAAAAGTTTGATTCCACCTTCGGCTGCCACAGCTAAAAAATGGAGTTTGGAAGATGAATCTGAAGAGGAAGATAATGCTACAAATGATATCAGAAAAGAGGCCGAATCACCTCCCCCATCTAAATTTTTGAGCATCAAAGAAATAAAAGAAGAGGATGAAGAAGAGAAATATAAAAAAGATAAACCAAAGCCAAAGGAAATCGCAATAATTGTTGAAGAAAAAATTGAAACGAAAGAAGAGGATGATGATATTGATCCCTTAGATGCATATATGCAGGAGGTTGATAAAGAAGTGCGTAAGGTAAATAATTTTATAAGTCAACCTAAGAAGCAACAAGGAGTAGTTATCTTAACTGGTGTTGCTAAAAAAACGACGAAAACTATCAATAAAGGTGAATTAATAGAACAGAATATGGATAGCTTGGAGTATTCTAGCGAAGAAGAGTTAGAAGACATTAAAGATACGGCTGCGAACTTAGCAAATAAGCACAAAAAAGAATTAGCTAAAATTGATCACTCTGGTGTTGATTACTCATCTTTTCGAAAAAATTTTTATGTCGAGGTACCAGAGTTGGTACGTATGTCGCAACAAGAGGTAGAAAAATATCGTGCTGATCTAGAAGGTATACAAGTAAAAGGAAAAGGCTGCCCGAAGCCAATTAAGGTATATATAAATATGTTAATTTGTAGTTTTTAATATAAATTTTTTAACAATCTTACCTTCTAGACATGGGCACAATGCGGTGTAAGTAAAAAAGAAATGGACATTTTGCGAAAACTTGGATTTGAGAAACCTACTCCAATACAGTGTCAAGCAATTCCAGCTATTATGTCTGGACGGGATTTAATAGGTATTGCTAAAACTGGCAGTGGTAAAACGCTCGCATTTATTTTACCAATGTTTAGGCATATATTGGACCAACCGCGCTTGGAAGATGGTGATGGACCAATCGCAATTATTATGGCGCCAACCCGAGAATTGTGCATGCAAATTGGCAAAGATATACGACGGTTTTCGAAAAGTTTAACACTGAGGCCAGTGTGCGTATATGGCGGCACGGGAATATCTGAACAAATAGCTGAGTTAAAACGTGGTGCTGAAATTATAGTGTGTACTCCAGGTCGTATGATAGATATGTTGGCTGCTAATTCAGGTCGTGTTACAAATTTGCGGCGTGTTACATACGTTGTTTTAGATGAAGCAGATCGTATGTTCGATATGGGTTTTGAACCGCAAGTTATGCGTATAATAGATAATGTGAGGCCCGATAGACAAACTGTCATGTTTAGTGCTACATTTCCACGTCAAATGGAAGCCTTAGCTCGACGCATTTTAAAAAGACCAATAGAAGTTATTGTGGGCGGTCGTTCTGTTGTCTGCAAAGATGTTGAGCAGCATGTAGCCATTCTTGAAGATGATGCTAAATTCTTTAAATTGTTGGAACTGCTAGGACATTATCAGGAAGAGGGCAGTATAATAGTCTTTGTTGATAAACAAGAAAACGCAGATATATTACTTAAAGATCTAATGAAAGCATCATATCCCTGTATGAGTTTACATGGTGGTATCGACCAGTTTGATAGAGATTCGACGATTATAGACTTTAAATCGGGAAGAGTGCGTTTACTGATAGCTACATCGGTAGCTGCACGAGGGTTAGATGTTAAAGACCTCATATTAGTGGTTAATTATGATGTACCAAATCATTATGAGGATTACGTTCATAGGTACATTTTACATAAATATCAATTTAAAGTAAATTTTTCGTTTAACAACTTTTTTTTTAATTGACAGATGTGGTCGGACTGGACGTGCTGGAAATAAAGGTGTGGCATGGACTTTCTTAACGAATGAACAAGCCCGATATGCAGGTGATATAATCCGCGCTCTAGAACTTTCAGAAACAGAAGTACCAGAAGATTTGCAAAAATTATGGACAGAATATAAAGAAGCACAAGAAGCAGAAGGCAAGAAAGTTCATACTGGCGGTGGCTTTAGTGGAAAAGGTTTTAAATTCGATGAACAAGAAGCAAATGCGGCTAAAGAAAGCAAAAAGCTACAAAAAGCTGCTTTAGGTTTAGCTGATTCTGATGATGAAGAAGATATTGAACAAGATATAGATCAACAAATAGAACAATTATTTGCAGCAAAGAGAACTGTAAAAGATACTTCTATACCGGTTGTAACATTAGCTTCTACAACAGCAAACACTACAGCTACTGCCGCACCTATAGTAACAATGGCTGGCGGTTCAGACAAACTTGAACTTGCAAAACGTCTTGCTTCGAAAATAAGTACAACTAAAAATCTTGCACCGGAAACAATACTAAAAGGCACTACTACAGCTCCGCCAATATTAACGGCACGAACTGTAGTTGAACAGTTAGCTGCTAAATTAAATAATAAGTTAAACTATCAACCTAAGGATGATGAGGAAGGTATTGCAGGATTAATGCCGAATCAAGCCAACTCATTTACAAAATATGAAGAAGAATTAGAAATAAACGACTTTCCTCAGCAAGCACGCTGGAAAGTTACATCTAAAGAAGCTTTGGCACAAATTTCTGAATATTCTGAAGCAGGTTTAACAGTACGTGGTACTTATGTGCCTACTGGTAAGAATCCGCCAGAAGGAGAACGTAAACTATATCTAGCAATTGAAAGTTGCAGTGAATTGGCGGTGCAAAAAGCAAAACGTGAGATCACACGACTAATAAAAGAAGAATTGCTAAAACTTAGTTCTGCACATCACGTCTTTAACAAAAACAGATATAAGGTTCTCTAGTAGTAAACCTTACAATTATATGAGGAAATGTCGGATTTATCTCATTTCACTTTGTAAGATTATTTAAGTTTTGCATGTGCTTTTTCTACATTAAATTATATATTTAATAAGTAGAAATAAATACATTCGTTTAGATATGAATTTATGTATTTGTTTTGATTTTTATGTTTCTTTTTGGACTTTGGTCAAATTAAACATAATTTATAAACTCGTCTCTATATATTTTTATACAAGGTATAAATACAATATTAAATTGATGGAATAATAAATATTTTATCTCTAGAGAATCCTGACCACATGAACGAAAGAAATCAGTGTTTCTCATTATAAGCGTGCTGATTAACATCAATTGATTGTTCTTTAAAAAGTAAATACCCTAATAAATATTTATAAAATAAAGATAATCAATAAATTAAGAAAATTTTTAGTATGTGGTAGGTACATGCAAATGTAAATAAAGATTGGTAATAGATTATATTAAGTTGATCTAGCTGGCTATGAGAGACCAATTGACTATTGGTCAATACCAGATTGAGTTAGACTATGTAAGTTTATCGTGGATATAATGTAGCATATTACGAATTTAATCTGATTTTTGAAGTGCTATTCATAGAAAGTTGTCATATTGTGCAGCCCCCAAATGTTTTATTGTGATAATCCAGTACTAACAAAAAGAGATGTTTTAGTTTTCTTTACTTTCTGCTTTCCATATTTACCGCATGGGCGGTATTATTGATTTCTATTATGTATAAGTGTCGCTAATAAAAGGTAGCATATTTATCATAGTTTTACTGCTAATATATCCCAAACAAACACCACTGGAACTTTAATCTGTGTCCGATCTCAAAAGACGGTTGTGCTACTAAGCACAGTCCATTTAAGTCCACAAATATTTTAAGTATTCAGTTACTTACTCCTAAATATTATTCATTATCTATTTAACAAAAAAAAGATCCTAAAGAAAATTTATTGTTTCGTTAAGTCCTAATCAATTCTACACAATTTTATTAACCTTATAATCTTAATAAATTTATAGAATAACTTTTATTAGCAAAAACTTGATTTGAATTTTAAAATATTGTTCAAAATGTTATTTATATATAATAATAAAATTATGATTATATGTGAAAACATTTTATTGTTTGTTGTTTATAAAATTTAGTTGCAGTGAGAGTTTCATTATGTTAATATTTTAACATTATTTAATTTAACGTATTATTTAATTTATATCTGTTATATTTACAACTTAATAAAATAAATTATTTAATCTCTTAAAATACAAGGAACATTGATCTATTGTGAATATGCACAATAGTTCAACATTATCAGTGCAACCAACATATGAAAAAAAAATTTAATTTAAATTTGACAGTAACGAACGGGAAATAAAGGCACGCACTTTAAACCATATCAATACAAGTGTTATTAAATTAAGTATTTAGAATAAAGAAGTTATTTTCTGCACACATGGCACACAAAATGGATTATAAAAGTAACAAAGTATTACCAAAACCTGGTGATCCCAAACTACCTACGATAATGAGACATTTACAAATGGATTACGGGAGATATAAATTCACCGTTTATCGTTGTGCATCCAAATTTGTTGCGCTGCAAAAATTGCTTTTCAGTGTGTAATTTGAGAAAAATTTATCAGTAATTATTAGTAATTTTATTTTTTTTATAGCTGCAAATATACCTTATAAGTTAGTTTTAGCAGTTTTGGAAAGGCATGGTATACGTGAAGCCCACAGTAGTTTAATGGTGCCGCCATTTCAACTGACCTCACTCATACGTGATATATACTTTGCTTGTGAAAAATTAGGACATTTTACAAAATTTGCTACGTACAACTTGGAATCAGCAACATCTGTACTATCAAATTATTTTTGGGATATATTTGATCCGTAAGTAAATGTTAATATTTTTATTAATGCAATCTAATGTTATGCATTTCAATATATATTTAGGAGACGAAGGCATTCAGTTTCTTTATTGGAAATAAAAATGACATTGCTTTTATTATGTAAATTTCACTTATCTGAACAGTTCATTGAAGAATTTTTTAATTTGGTCAAAGATGAGAAAACTAACTGCGTATCCATATTAAGTTTTGCTACATTACTTAATATTTTAATAAAAATATTTACTTATATTGGTGAAGGTAATGGATATGGAAATCACAACATCAAAAAGGTTTTGGATCAATGTTATGAAAGGGTGCGTGTACCAAAATTTCTTTAGAGAAAAATCGGTTAAATTGTATTTACTTATAGTGCCACAACTCAGCTGGTCTTACATTATATCAATTTCATTGCTTATGGACAAAGACGCAGACACGTTTTCTGATATACGCAAATTTAATTGCTTTAATTAAACGTATTGAGGATACCGAGAAATTAATACATAACAATATTTGTGCTTCATGTCATACCGAGAAAATTGTAGGTATCCGATTTAAATGCCAAATATGTAAGAATTTGTCTTTGTGTTTAAAATGTTTTGCAACTGGATACGCAACTAATAAACACGAAATAGGCCATCGTATGTTCGAGGTATTCAGTGAGGTTTGTAAGACTTTGAAAAATGAGATTTTTTGGTATAATATCTCCATATTATATTATTTTAGGACTTACCACCAAAAAAATATTCGAATTTTTTTGCAAAATTATGTAATATGTTTTTTTCAAATAATAACGAAGAAAGTAAAGGTTTTTGTAATGATAATGAAATGGGCACTGAAATGGCAACGTTACCAATGAATCACCATACATATAATATGCCACAATCAGCTCCAGGAGCAGAGAAGTTGGCTGATTCAAAAAAGGAGTTACCGCAAAAAGCACAAGATGAAAATAAATTAGATGAAATCAATAAATTAGAGCGTATGTATGAAAATAATTTAAATATTTTAGAAAACTAATAATTTTAAATCTTTACAGCATCCATAGCTGGCTTAACAACAGTGGCAATTAGCACATCCGAAAGATTGCAAACATTGATTAATAAATTAGACGAACAAAATATGTAAGTTTTATTTGCATTTTTACGATTTACGAATAGGTTTTACCTCTCAAACCTAGAAAATTATTTCAGGAATTTTTATAATTTATTGTTTTAATGACCAAAATTGTATTAATAATTTTGAAAAACTTAGCATTTAAAAAATTATTTATTTATATCAATATTTCGACTATATTCTATAGTCATCAGGAGTTTCAAAAATATTAAAATACAACTATATGTATTTTTTTAAGCGATAAAAATTATATAAATTTTGTACAACTTTATTAAATTATTATTGTCTTTTATTTCAGCAAATTGGAATTACAATTAAAATCTGTTAAAACAGCGACAAATGAAGAAATTTCCGAATTTCTAAATGCACATCACATATTTTTAGTTGATATAATAAATGAAATGAGAAATTTTTCGGTAAGCAATATTTGTCAATTTGTATTAAAATTTAACATTTTATTATTTCTATTTTTAAATAGAACGCTGATATTTCGAACGCATTCCCAAGTTCTAGTACACCAAATCGTTCAACTAACAGTTTTGTCAATAAAGCAACTGCAGTGGATGATGCTGACAATCTAACTCATTCAAGTAAGATATATTCTTATAATCCAAATACTGCAATAAATATTTAAACTTTTAACTATATATATAGTAAATGGTGCAGATCTAAATCGCAGTTACTTAGATGCTAATAAGTCGGATTACTCTCTTAAAGATTTAAGTTTATGGTTTAACCAAAGAAGAACATCTTTAACTACACATACAGCATATCCAGCATTAAGTATTTTACCTGACGCAAATACTGACGATATACGAGACACAGAAATGAACAACTTTAAGCAGCTGCTTAGTAAAGTAAAGGAAATAGTTGACGATTCATATAGCGATAATACAGAATTAGCAGCAGCAACTCAAAATTTGGAAAATGTTTTAGACAGTATTATTAAAGGTGAAGAAAGTCGTAGGTGCAGCACTTAAATGTATCTACTCTTATTAGGAAATTATATAGTAGTAAGTAATTTTATATTGTAAATGTTTTAATGTTTAAACATATATTAAAGTAAAAAAAAATTCTATATAATATTTATATACAATAAATTTTATTTATATTTCATATATTAATGCATGCAAGAATTGTACTGACTAAGTTTAGTGTGTACATATAAAATAATATAATTATTAAACATTTAGATACATAGAATTGAAAAGTTATATTTCTATAAATAGGCGAATTAACTACAAAGTTGTGACGTTTAAGTTAATATTTGTAAAATAGTAAGGAAATTAAGTTACTTTTATCAATTAATTACCACTATAGTTCATTTGTATGACCAGAAATATATATTTTATGTATATGCACGCTTAATGGTGCAGTTGACTACAACTATAGATGACTTTATAGTCGAAATATAAATCAATTATATTAACAATAATCATAAGTATTTTACTAAACTAACCCATCAGCTTGTATATACATGAAATTAGATACATTTAGTAATTGTATTTATTAAAGAAAACGAAATAACTTATAATAAATAAATCGTGATAATATTCATATCAAGAAATACTGTTTTTGTATTGTGTCCACAATGAAATTTACAGTTAATTTATTATATATTCCATCACTATTTTATTTAATTAATAAAATTTTAGCTAATATATGACTGAGTTCATCTCAATGTAATAAGCATTAAACAATGTAATAAACATTATGTCCGGCTACTGTTATATGACTAGCTTTAAACGTGAAAAGCTTGAAAACAGTGGCGAGAAATAAGGATAATTCTGATACAAGCGAAGACCCAGTGTATGTTGTCGAGCTGATAAGAAGCCGTTTTTAGTAAAATAACGATTTACAAAATGTGTATGTTATGTGTATACAACTATATCGGTTATAAAGTAATTTTTTTTTTAACGAATACTAATTAGAACTGCTTCAAATGATACTTTATTATTCGTACGAATAAATCTAATCCGAAGTATACTTAGCATTATTAGACTTAGACAATAGATACTGTATTGTGAATGCGAATATCTTTTTTCCTGAGTATTATTCAGCTCTTTTAGACTCTTTTAGAATACCTTCAATATGAAGTAAAATTAAGCACTATTATACTTAGATGATGAAAACTTTGCTATTATGAATTTGAATAAATCCAATCCCGAGTTATATTTAGCACTATTAGACTCCGACAATAGTTACTCTGTTGTAAATAGGAATGTCTCCAATTAGAAGTTTAATTCAGCATTATTAGACTTCAATCATAGTTTGTCAATAATCTCGTTTAAATTTAAAAATCTTACACAGCTTGCAAATCTTGTGCCAAGAGATCTGTTTCCAGTTGTAGTTTTGTAAGGTGTGCGACAAAGTTTTCGGTTTCAGTTTCATTTTTGTTCGATATGAAATCATTCACTGCTTTGAGTTCCTTTCGTATGGCATGCTCAAAA